AGCGACCGACCACCTAAACCCCCATGGTGGAACCTTGACTGCCAACGAGCGCTCGCATTCAAACGCAAAGCTTATCATCGCTACCACAGGCACATCAATCGAGATAATTGGATACAAGCCAAAAAAGCCACTGCGGAATTACAGCGCTGCATCATCATCCAGAAGCGAACTTTTTGGGAACGTATGGCGTCCTCTCCCCTGTACAAGAATAACATATGGAGCATCCTCCGCCGCCTCCGTAATAGTAACAACTCCCCCTCAAGTAACCTCGTCCTGCGGCACAACAACCGTACCCTAATCACCCCGAAAGATCAAGCGGCCAAATTCCTCAACTTCTTCATCCCTCACTTACGGGTTCAACAGCCGATCATTAGACGCCCAAATAATCCCACATACCAGCAGGACTCTTACAATCGCCCCTTCACTAATAAGGAACTGGATAATGCAATAGATAGAGGGCGGAACACGACGCCTGGGGCCGACGGCATCACGACAGGCATACTAAAAGGGTTTGATGTTCAAGCCAGAAACCACCTATTGGAAGTCTACAACTCCATATGGTCGTCGGGCAACATACCAACGAAGATGAAAAATACCATCATCCTCCCCATCCACAAACAAGGAAAAGACCCGACCATGGTCGAGAACTACCGTCCAATAGCGCTCACCTCCACGATAATGAAAACGATGGAACGGATGATCCTCTATAGATGGCAGCGCATGGCTACTCATAATAACTGGTTTAACTATAAGCACTTCGGCGGCCTCCCTGGCAAAGGCACTCGTGACTTACTTACCCATCTGATGTTACATCTACACACCCTCCGGAATAAAGGCTATTATATCAACGTAATTACCCTCGATATTTGCAGTGCTTACGACAAAATCAACCACTCTCATATTATAAGGAAGGCTTTAGATAAAGGACTAAAAGGCAACTCAATTCTCTGGCTTCAAGACTTCCTAGCCAATAGGCAGGTACAAATTCGCTGGAGGGGCTACCTCTCCCCTAGCAGCACTCAATGCGTCGGAATCCCACAAGGCAGTGTTATCTCCCCATTCCTGTTTGCCATCTTCATGAATGATATCTTTCATCTAGAAAATGAACACACCAAAATATATGTCTACGCAGACGATGTCACTGCCGTCACGCATGGTACTAACCCGACTCACCTACACAGTAACACGATCCAGTTTTTAAACAAGTTTGGCAAATGGTCCCAGAAAAACTCTGCTCAGTGCCAACCACGGAAGTGCGCGATCATGCGCATTCCCACCAAAATCGGTGCCAACCAGGATTTCATCCTCAATAACCAACATATCCCCGAGGTCTCCAAAATCAAACTACTTGGCGTGTATA